TCTCTCTCTCTCTCTCTCGCTCTCGTTCCCCCAATTTCAAACCCTAACTATAATTTTCAACTTTTCAGATCTTTGCCTCTCAAGAGTTTCTTCACCTTGAATTTGCTAAACCTGTAGTTTTTGCCTCCTGTAATTAATTTGATTGACATGGATTGAAGAAAACCCCTTAGTCGGGTATTGAATTTGGGTATTGAAAAGTGAAAATCTCGTTCTAGGTGCAGTGGGATCGGGGTTTTTGGATTCTTGGTTCTCATTTGATGAAAAATCTGTGCTGCCAATACTATAATATATGTTGTGTTTTCTACATTTTTTCCCTGAGCAACGAAATATGGGTTTCTGATTTTTATTTTTATTTTTATTTTTTAATGGTTGATCTTGTGATTTGAACTTCTTAAGTTGGGTTTATTTTATTGGTTAACCTGACCAACGTTGGTCGATTTTTAGAAATCCATAATCATCATTTCTCGCCTTCAACAATGAATTGGAACTGAGTAGGATTTGCATCTAGGTTTCTTCTTCTCATTGTATGTCAATGTCATGTCATCTTACATCACAAAGGGAAGGATTTATAAGATGTTTCAATTTTATGTTGGTTTTTTGTGTGGATGCATATGTAGTTAATAAAATATGTATATCATAGTAATAACAAAATGCATATTTGAATAACTGTTGGAATTTTTTTTTTTTTTAATTTTTTATAGCAAAAGTGCAACTAGAATACTCTTACCTCACCGTGATTGTTGGTAAATGTCAGATGGTAAAGGAACTATACTTTGAATCATAATTTTTTCATTGGATGCAACTGAAGAACCAAAAAAAGATTGGCATTCTTGTTCTATTCAACGTTTTCTTTCCTTTTGTCAGTTTATTACAAGACATAACCAGAGCCCCTAACAGCATTAATATTCATCTAGCATCCTTCTATTACAACTTTGGGCAAAAGGTCATTTTGGTATCAGGAACATATTAATTCAGTCTCTTAATATGCTATAGAGTAACCTCCTTGGCTTAAGAGATTCATGTCCTTGATGAATCAGAGAATTCAATGTTGTGAATTTTCGTGAAATATGCTTCCTTGGCTTGGCATGATTTTCCTTTTAATTTTGTTACTGGGTGGTGGGTTTGAGAAGGGATGGTTTTCTCACATTATCTGCACTTCATTGACATTTCAGGATCTTGATGGTGCATGTCAAGTGATTGAAGGTCTTCAAATTTTCTCTCCTTAGTCACTTTTTAATGCTTGTTTTCTCTTGGTGATTAGATGAAAAGTTGGTAGGAAAAATTTGTATATGTTGCATATAAATAGAGCGTGGGAAAAGCTTTATACTTAATAATAAGATTACTAATTTTATTTTTTTCTAAATGAAGATCAAATGTATCTACCTTGGAAAAGATTTGATTCATTTTGAATTATTTAATTTAGAATTAAAAAGCTTATCTTTATTTGTTAAGAGTAGACAATCCATTTCTTGTATTGTATTATATCTCATCGTATCATATTTAATTTAATTATGCAATATTTAATGTTAAATTTAATAATTATGATAGTCTTTGTTGTATTGTTTATTATATCCCCATTATGGTGTTCTTTCTTAACTTGGTTAGTTATTAGATTGGTTTTTAGAGTTTTTACAACTATTGGACTATAATTCCGTTAGTAATTCTTTTCATATTTTTCTACCAATTAAAAAAGGAAAAAAATATTCCATGAACATTCATGATTTGTTCTTTAGATTTCATAAGCATTTTAATGTGATAATGAGGATGCATTTAAGATTCACAGTCACATATGGGTTCCATGAATCACATAGCAGAGATTGATATATACGAGCTTTTTGCTTTCAAACATTGCAAGGGAAGGAAGGTTAAGCTTGCTCTTTGGGAAGGTAATTTCTAATCTTTGAATACGCAAGCTTGCATTGTTAGGGAAATTATCTTTGTGAGTTTTTGGTGTAGGCTACGGATAAGAAATGATTGCTGATATTTGGTACTTTCATGTTGTGTTAATTGATTGGATCTTAATTATTATACACCAAGATGACTTGGTAGCGAAAGTAATAAAGTACTATTGATACTTGTATGTGCTGATTGTTAGTTGATATTGATATTTGTGTTTAGATTTTTGGGGGTTGGCTTGAGGAACCATGAACTAGAACAAGAGACAAAAGAGGGACAATTAATCAATAGTCTTTCGAAAACCCACAAGACAAGAGAGAGATAGCCCTTTTAAGTTGTAGGAGAATAGGGTTGGCTTTGATATGGAATTAATGGTCCCATAGGGGGCAAGGAAGCTCTATTTGAGAACTTTGAATCTCACCTCCTACAAAAAAAAAATTAAAAAATATAATATTGTAAACGTGTTTGGAGAGAGTCTAGTCACACATGAGTGGGCATGTTGAAGAGAATAAATTTGGAGTAATATTGCAATGACTAGCTACTTTAACCATCTTATCTTATCATTTGATATGTCAATCTAATTGACAATATATATATATATATATATATATATAATTAATATGGTATAGAGAAATATGATTATTGTAATTTATTGATAAATTTGTGCTTTGCAGGTAATTTGTACATCGTAGTGATTGCTTTATCTAAATCTCCAATATGTTAGTTGACAAATAATTGAGAATTGAATTTTTGTTGGGAGAGACAAGGTTGAAGTAGAGCATGTTGGCCAGGTAGTTAAAGAAAAGGCCAACCTATTTTTTTTCATTGATCATTACCCAAAATTTATTTGTTCTTTATTAGACCATTGCCAACGGTAATACTATTATTTGTTATATTATTAACAAAGATTTTAGCTCATCCAACCATTATTTTCCTTTTTCAAACTCATTTTTAAATAGTTTTTTGGAGATCGATAATAATTGTGATTTAATCTTTGTCTGAAAGGATAATATTGGAGAACTTGCCTTTTTTTTTCTAAACTTTATTTATTTGTGTTTTGAGCTTGCTAATATGCCAAAAGTTAACCAACGGGCTAATTCGATTGATAGAGAAGTTGACGTTATCTGTAAGACTATTAATTGCGAAGATCTGGTGCTACTAATCGTTGCTGTCAACCTACCTCACAAACAATCAATGTAAAACAGATGGAGCATAACCTACCCCACAAAAAATGCCACCTTAGTTGGAGCCTTAGACCCAAACTCCTTCCCAAGAAAAAAAAAAAGATCAATGTTGACTGCTCAAGACTTTATAATAAGTTATTACTTTAAAGCTTCCAAATTTTGATCACGTCCAATGCATCCCATCCTCTTCCCCTCCAATGTGGAGAATGGCATAAAGGCAGCCAAGAAGATCCACCAACTCCCCACAGAAAGTAATATCCTAGAAAATTTGGCTTATCTTTTTTGAGCGCTGAGGTAGTCACTAATATCAGTTGTCTAGCTTATTATATTATGGGGCACTGTCCAAACAATTAACTTTTTTTTTTTTTAAAGAAGTGGACATGTCAAAACAAAATGACCTGGGTGAGAGGCTTCAGTCATATCAGCCAAAAAATTATTACTAGATTTGATTGACATTTCTCGCATATCCTGCAGGTATTGTTTAGATTGATTTGATGCAGGATTGAACACTATCTTTTATTGCATTCTCTACATCATTAGCAAACCAGTCTTGTCTAATTGTAACTTTTTGGTACTAAACTGCCTTGTGCTTAGAGGCAGCTACCTAATACATATAGAATCCTTGTTAAAAGTTTATTGAGCACTGAGAATTTCATATTTCAGATCTCTAATTGGAACTTTTTTGTACTGAACTGCCTTATGCTTTAGTTACTATATCATTCATTGTTGCTTGTAGGTCGGTGATCCTCTTGAGAAGGCTGCACTTAAGGGAATAGAATGGAGTTATAAATCTGATGAGAAGGCTATGCCGAAAAAGTAAGCAGCAACATTAGTTGTCACTATTTAATTAGTACTCAGTTGCTGTTTGTCTTGGTCTTTACATTATAAAAATTGTTCCAATCTTTAATCTCTCTTGCACCCTTGATTTCTTCTAACTAATGTTATTTATCACTTTTCTTATTGTAGTTAGATATCTTCAATGTTGTACTTATAAAAAGAAAATGATGAGGGAAAAAATATGCTAATGGACAATATGAAAGGCTAAATTTTATCTTTACTTGTGAAACAAATCTGAATCAAAGGCCGGCTGCCCTCATTAACGCAACGGAAAATATATTTCCAGCTCATTTGCACAGGTACAGACTCGAACACATATGTATAAGTGCTCCAGCAGTGCTTTGGGCCCTAAATGTGTTGAAATCTGATGCTCCTCCACTCTTACTCCCTCTACTGCTCCTGCTCTTGCTATGTGAATCAGTCACCTAAGCAAGGAGCACCATTTTGTTTCTTTTCCATTGAAATGGTCAAAATGTTTACGTTTCTTACGTTTCTTAGGCTTCATCGTGGGGTTTTGCATCAAGGAGACTTCCAGAAGTTTCAATTCACTTTTATTGTTTCTGACAATTTCCTTTTATGCACGGGCCACATATCTCCAGAACCAATTCTTCATCTCAGGTCTTTCGGGAGATGAGGTTATACGGAACCGCATACTAGAATCATTATATAGGCGTATTATGCGAGCATACAATGAGAAGAAGTGTTTCAGGGCTTTTATTGTCATACCACTTCTACCTGGCTTCCAGGTAATAACACTTGGTGATTTGCTTTCAATGTCAAATTTTAGGTAGTTACTCCATTTTCATAATAAGTTTTTAACAGGGGGGCGTGGATGATGGTGGTGCAGCAGCTGTGAGAACCATTATGCATTGGCAATATCGAACAATTTGCAGAGGACACAATTCAATATTGCATAATCTTTATGATCTTCTTGGTTCTAGGATGCTTGATTACAAATCGTTCTATGGCTTAAGAGCTTATGGCAGACTTCTTGACGGTGGTCCTGTGGCAACCAGTCAGGTGTTTATAGCTTTTTATTTTGAAAATCTATGCCAGAGTGTTGGATGTAGCTTTTTTTTACAGTTTATGAAGCAAAAATAACTTAAATAAGCTGAAAAAAGCTGATTATTGGAAAGCAGTGGAGAAGTGCTTTAACTTCTGCTTTCTGATTATTAGCTTTTAGCTTACTAGAAGATGCACCAAACAGACCTATTGTCTGCATTTACGCACCTTACTGCTTATATTTTCCTTCTCCTTGATCAATCACAAAAGGTATATATAGGCATCACTTTCCAGCAACCTTTGGCCCTGCACCTAGAAGTGTAGTGCAGAAAAAGCTGTAGCGTGTATCACATAAATAAATAATCTCATTTTGCATTCTTATGTTTCTGCAGATATATGTGCATAGCAAAATCATGATAATTGATGACTATATATCCTTGATAGGATCAACTAATATAAATGACAGGAGTTTACTTGGATCAAGAGATTCTGAGGTATAAACTTAAACTTTTGGATCCTTTTGCATTAATGTTTTCTATTCTTTGGCCAGCTATTTTAAATTGCAGAATTGGATTATATCATAGTTGATTTCATAATGGAGCTCGTTTATTTTTCATTACCCTTTCTTTCAGAAACTATATACATGAGCTCTGAATTTGAAGGTGAGGCAAAGAATTTCTGTTTGGGAATTTGTAGTTTTTTTGGGGAAAAAAATAATGCTCGGTTCTTAATATAAGCATGCAAGTTTGAAAGTTTTGCATCCATGGATTCTCTTTGTTCCTCTTTTTTTTCTTTTTCCTTTTTCTTTTTCTTTTTTCTTTTGAAATATTTGTGAAGTGAGCCATTGATGCAAGCTGCTGAACAGTTTACGCTTTAAAATTTACAAATTAATAACTAAAGTAGTAGATACAATTATTTACTTTCAGATTGCTATTCTTAACACAGAATTTTGTTGTTATTTTTCCTCCATTTGGTCACAACCAATCACATTACCAGCAACTCTAAACTTCTTGACAAACTACAAATCTATCATGATATGCTCCTCATTTTAATGTACAAATCTCCATCACTTTTTTGTAGTAGTTTTTCCTAGTTGTTAACAAAAATGTTGTCGATTCAGATTGGTGTACTTGTTGAAGACAAAGAATTTGTTGATTCATGTATGGGAGGAAAGCCTTGGAAGGCAGGAAAATTTTCTTCAAGTCTTCGCCTTACGCTATGGTCTGAACACCTTGGTCTTCCAGCTGGGGAGGTTTGTACATCTAACAAAACAAGGTAATTTTTTTTCATAATGACTATGGCCAAGACAGGTTAGTGAACGAGAGACTAATGAATGCTTGTGTTAATCTTATACCTTGCTGATTGTGTATTATTCTTTTTTATTCAAATTAGTCAAATAAATGACCCGGTGGTTGATTCAACTTACAAAGACATATGGATGGCAAGGGCAAAGGTGAGGATGATAAAATGTTTTAAAACTATTTTTTCTTCATATGCTGCTGATTGCTGATATGTTCAAATACAGTCTTGGTTTCTGCTGTGTTGTAATAATTGCTCAGATATGTTTAGGCTATTCTTGGCATTAGGACTGAGATGCAGGTAAATCTGTCACCAATATTTGGAAGGTGGAAGCTGGGCTTTGCAGATTGGTAGTCTCGCTGAGGTAGGCAGCTGGTCTGTTCTATTTGTGAAGGTAATCTGGCTCCAGTATTGCTCCATTGGAATGATCTGTCTACTCTGTTGGAAGTTGGAAGCTGGTCTGGCTCCACTGTTGCTCCCTTGGAATGTATGTTGCAGATTGTAATAGCCTCATACCTTGTTATTTTCTTTCTATATCATGTTTGATTTGTCACGATTTGAGATAATCTGAGTGTGCACTTATGAGTTTTTATCATCGCTTTGAATTGGAGGGATGCTAGGGAAATTTGAAATCGATCTCTCATTCCCCAAATTCCCTCACGACTTTAAAGGAGAGAACTTGTGGGTTTTGTGTTTGAGTTTATCATATGTATGATAATGGTTTTTAGGATATAGAACTTGATTGAATGTTATAGTTTGTGCATTCAATTTACAGAGATATCTAGATAGATTTTATATTGTTCCATTAGTGACATTGTTTGGTCATTTTTAGGTCTATGGATAATTTTTTAGTCAAAATTTAAGAGCAAATAACTCATCATTTTTTTTATCACTTTATTTAATTGCTTGGTTTTGCATTTATATATAGGATAAATTAGCTGATGATTGTAAAGCAGCTGAAGTATGCATTGGTGAAATTTTCAGAGTCTGTGGTCCTGATGCAGTATGTAGACAAAAATTTTTGGTGCCTCCTTTGGTTTTTGTCAAAAATCTAGCAAAACTCCTGAGTTTATTGTCTTGTTACATGACTAGGTGACCAAGAATTTGAAAGATATTCAAGGACCTGCCTTAGCTATTGTTCTTGAACGACTGCAGCACTCTGGGGCTTTTCAAGGTATGTTGTAGTGAAGTTTGTTGAGGTTTTATTATCTTTGTTCGGTAGTGCTGTTTCATAGTGACATAATTTTTCTTTGTTCCCAGAAACATTTGAAGTGGCTAAAACAATATCGATGGGGCCATCACTGAAAAGTGGATCAAAAGTTCACGAACCAGACGAGCACCCTCCTCAACATATTTCTTAACAAGTTCACGAAGCTAAATTGTACAAGACTACTTGGCAGTATGAGCATTTTTGGGAGGATTAAATATTTTTGGATGGATGTGTATGGATAACAAATATTAGTAGTTTTATTTGTTGATAGCTGCGCATGGATAACAAATAGTTATGTTTCAAATTATTATGCTAGATGGATGTGACTTGTGAATGAAAACTTAGAATAGTTGTATTGTGTCGAATGTTAATGAATTATGTATTATATCGAATGTTAATGATTCAGTTAATTTGAATGATGCTTTAAAATTATAGGTTTATTATGGATTGAATGAATTATTAGGAATTATAGGTGTATTGTTTTCCTGCTTTGGTGACCAATTTATTAGTTGCGACATTCAAAATAATTTTTTTTCGCAAAAAATGACAATTGCCGACCAAGAGTTTTGGTCGCAAAAAATACATCTATTGCCGACTAAAAATTTTGTTGGTCGTGGAAACTCACTTTTGCCGACCAACAGTTTTGGTTGCGAAAAGTAACAATTGGCGACCAAACTAATTTTGGTCGCACAATGTCTCAATTGGCGACCAAACTTTTTGGTCGCGAAATGTGTCAATTGGCAACTAAGAAATTTGGTCGGCAAAAGGCGATTTTTCGAGACCAAAGTGTTTTAGCGACAAAATGAATTAGTCACGGTAATTAAATATTTAGCGACCAAAAATTTAGTCGGCAAATCCAACCTTTGCCGACCCACCAAAATTTTGGTCGCGAATTACTTTTCCCGACCCTCAATTGGCGACCAAAGTTGCGACCAAAAAAAATGGTCGCGGATAACTTTTGCCGACCAAAAATAGACTTTTAGCGACCAATTTTTTTGTTGCCAAAAGTGTGAATTCTTGTAGTGAACACAAATCAAGAAACTAATATAATTCTATGTTAAATAAAATATTTTTAATCAAATATTAATTCAAAAGTAAAATACCATGTCTTAAGATTTTTACATAAAACAAAAAAAATTAGGAACAATTTTAATTATAAATCTAAATGGTATTAGTTATGAATCAACGTAATTGATTAACTACTCCAATTTATTATTTAGATCTAACGGAAGAGTATAGATGCATATAGTATTTATCTTTTTTTTGTCGTTTTTTTTTTTTTCTTTTTGAAATATAATAAAATAAGCTAAGTATAATACCATGGCAATCACCATTTCATTGAAGTTAGTAGTCGAAAATAGATCTTCACATGGAATATTAGCCCCGTTTGGGATGAATTAATTTGGTTTATCTTTTTATCTTTTTAATTTGACTAAAATAGTTATGTTTTAATTTTTTTTTATTTATTTATTTTTATTTTTTTGTGTAATTGATTTGATGATTGTAAGAAAAAAAAATGAAATGATTATAATTTAATGTGACATTTTGTCTCATTAACTAAATTAACATAATTTGTTTTTATTAATTAATTTAGCCAAAATAACACATGTCAAATGAAGGAAATTGAAAAGGCCAAAATAGACTTTATCAGTACAATGGGAACTGAAACTTTAAACCTATTCACTGTGTTTGGTTTGAGTTTTCTGGATTAAGTTTTTTTAAAATTGAGTTTTTTGATTTTCGTATTTTTTTTGTTTTTAGTGAATATTTTTAAAATTTTAAACATTTTTTTTACTTTTTTAGATGCACCTTACTTAGATGTGTCTAAAAAATAAAAAAATTGTGAAAAATATTTTAAAAAATTAAGAAATACATAAAAATACAAAAAATGTACTAAATTCTTATATTTTTTTGTATTTTTGGTATTTAGTGAATTTTTAAAAAAAAAATTTACATTTTTTTTACTTTTTAGGTGTATTTATGTTAGGTGTGTCTAAAAAATAAAAAAAAAATTGCATAAAATATTTAAAAAATTCAGTAAAAACAAAAAAACACGAAAAATAAGAGTGTAGAATTTTTGAAAACTGTTTTTAAAAAATGGGAACCAAGCATAGTGAAATTGTTGAAAGCATCATCAACTTACACCTGATTTGGTGAGTTTAAAATTTTAGCTTAAAAATTGAAATGTTATTAAAAAGTTAAAAGTCAATAAATATAAATAAAAAAATTTGAATATTACTTATTATTCACTCTATTTTTTACATATTTTTTCGTAAAAAATATTTTAAAAAATTATTCAAAACATATTAATTTTTTGAAGAAATTACCAAAAAAAAAAAAACTACGATTTGACTCTTATAACAAATTCAATCCTAAATTTTTAATTTTATCAATCTAAATCCTAAATCCTAAATTTTTTATTTGTTCAATCTAAATGTCTATTTTCGTTAAGTAAAATCAAATAAAAAAATTATATATTAGTCATTAAATTCAATAAAAAAATATATATTTTAGACATTTTATGTATACCTATGTGGAGGGGTAAATTATTAACCCAAGCTTGAAAAAATTAGACAAAGCAGCCTAAAAGAAAGGGAAAGCTAGATGAATTTCTAATGAGCCCATTAGAGGCAGCTGGCGGTACAATGGCGCGTGGCTAGAACCATAAGGAGTAATGAGGAGTACAGATCTCTTTCTAAAAGAAGATCCACAAATGTAAGAGGAATGTCAGATTCAGTTTCACCTGTATAGGTCAGGTCTACTAAACGGTAAGTTCGTCTGGTCAACCTGATCCAACGAACACAATGCTTCGCAAGTTAGCCACTAGTATTTGACATAGTTTAAACCATCCATAAGCAAATAATCCACCGATGAAAGATAAAGGCAATTTGAACAATTGCCCAACCACAGCCAAGAATGGGTAGAACCCTCGGATCAAATATTGATTCAACGGATGGGATTTAAGTTAGGAAAACTATCAAAGGTGAAGTAGGTGAAGCAAAGAGGACAGACCAGAGATAATCCAAGAAGCATCTTTTAAATATAAATACTCATTGCTAAACTGTATTATGACTTGACCGTCAAAAGGTTCTCCTGACCAATCCTAGTCGGGGGTGATCATTGGTGTTTTAGTTTCTCTTGACAAAGTAAAGGAAGGGACATGTCATCTCGCTTTCCCTGTGGAAAAGAATTCTACCTTCCACAACCTATATCGAGTTTAATGACTAAAATATTATTTTTCTGTTGGTTTTACTTGACAAAAATAGACAAATGGTTTAAATTGAAAACAAATCAAAATATTGGGTTTTAAATTGACAAAATAAAAGACTTAGAATTTATTTTGTTACAAGGCTTAAATCTTGGGATTTTTTTTTTAATTATTCCAAATTTCTTTCATCTCATATTTTAGACCAAAATAATAAAAAAAAAGTCACTAAAAAAAATATATTTTCAAACGAGGCCTTTGATATATATATATATATTCAAAAAACAAGGAAAGAGTTGTAAAAACAAACATTGAAAAAAAATTCTAAATGGGATTAAATCAAACAATGACCCTATTTGGTAGGGTTTATTTCTTTCTTATTTCAGTTTTTAGCTTAACTTAAGCTATTTTGATGTGTTTGGTTCAGCTTAACAATACAGTTTATAACTTTTTGTAAGTTAAAAATCAACTTATTTGTTGAGTGGGGGAGGAGAAGCTTAATTTATATAAGTTATAAGCTGTTAAGTTATAAGTTATAATCACTTTCCCACAGCTCTACCAAACGGGGCCAATGTTATGATTCAAGAGAAAGTTACAGTATTCGCTCGGACAATAGTTGAATTAAGAGGAAATATTATATCCGTCAAGTTTTAAAAAAATAATTACAAATTAATGAATTTTTTTTATAAATATCAATAATTAAAATTATAATTTTTTTTCCTAACATTTGTTGAGATGTAATCTACCAAACGGGGCCAATGTTATGATTCAAGAGAAAGTTACAGTATTCGCTCGGACAATAGTTGAATTAAGAGGAAATATTATATCCGTCAAGTTTTAAAAAAATAATTACAAATTAATGAATTTTTTTTATAAATATCAATAATTAAAATTATAATTTTTTTTCCAAACATTTGTTGAGATGTAATAATCCCTTTGTGGTATGACCCAATAACACTTTGTTTCCCTGTCTTTTAAAAATAGTCATATATCTCTCATTTAGTTTTGGACTAAAAAGTTACAATTACACTTTCCATTAAACTAACAGAGAATCTTACATGCCTATTTTGTGAGTGAGAAAGGAAAAATAGTTAGTCAAAGTTAAATTTCAATGTAATGAGACGAAACTAACCTTGTTATATATATATATATATATATATATATATTTTAATCTAAATTTCTTATTTAAAACATTTTAAATTAAAGATACATATTAAATTAACCAATTAATTTTTTATTATAGAAATTAATCATCAAACTACTTTAATCTAAAATAACCCAATTTTTTATTTAATAACATTTTAAAATAAACATAAACATACATACATATATATAACAAATTAAATCATAAAAGTATCTTAACCTAATTTTTAAATTTCAACTCAATTTATTAATTAAATAAGATTTTAAATTAAATATGTACATACATATATAACAAATTAAATCATAAATTAATTAAAATTAAAAATTAAGTTTATTAAAAAAAATATTTAGGAAACTCTAGTTTCTTAAATTAATTTTGTGTTATGTTTTTATTTTTATTTTTTTGCTTAGTTGTGGAGGTAAGTTTATTTATTTATTTACAAAGAAAGTCAAAAATAAAAGAAGAATACATAAAGGGTATAATTGTCTTTTTATTATTAACATTAACGGTGTTAACGTTACATTTTAGTCTAAATCTACATGGGGATATATGACTATTTTTAAAAGACAAAAAAATAAAATACTATTAAGCCATACTACAAAGAGGCAAAATAATTTTTTCCTAATAAAAAATTAATCTTTAACTTTGATCATAATTAAAGTCTACTTATCTCGTAAAGGTATATCGTAGCGACTAATTTAACTAACCATCTGCTTTCATGAAAAATAATTTTCTCGTGAGTAAAATTACAGTAGTAAAGATTGTGCCCTTTGAACATGCTGTATATAGTTTATTGATAAGAGTACGGGGTGTTTTAAGAAGATGATTAAAATTATTTTTGATCTTTTTTAATTTTTTTATAAGAGAGAAAAGGTGATTAAAAATTAAAAAATCACTTTTAATTCACTTTTTAAAATAACCCTGCATGTGGGTTCATCTTCTATTTCAGATTCAAAATCATTG